AATAGCCTTTGCACTTGATTCAGGTCTGCCACACACCTTCTGTGTGACCTTGAGCAAGTTACTCAAGGGCTAGAGCAGTCCAGTACATGGAAGTGTACCTAAGCCACTTGCCCAAACTTCTTCAGCATCCGCTAAAGCTCATGACTCGGTGCCTTGAGGAGATAAGCCAGTTCCTTTTATTATTTGCTGATTCTTATTCTGATACAAGAATAAAATAATTTCATTAGTATTTTAAGAACATTGTTCCTGATCTAGAGAAGCCATAATCAATTCAGTAATGTTTGTCTGAATCTTTAACATCTCCTTTGCTTCTGCCTATCTGTGCAGGAGTAGTAATGCTCCTCTTTCTTACAGGCGTGGCTTGGGAAGACTGGCTCAAGAATGTGAGGTGCTGAGCTATTGAAGTTAGTGGACACATGTAAATAGGTCATGATGAGAAATGTGGAAGCAAGTCCATTATTAAATTTATAAAGGGCTAACAGTGTAATCAAATTAGCCTTTGCACTTTCTCCTGTGCTCCACTTTCTGCATTAGAAAATCTCCATAAATCTCTGCAAAGCCATTTCATTTGTTCCCTTTAATGCTCTCCTCTGGTGTGATGCAAAGAAACACCTCAATATTCGCTAAGTAGCGGGTGGGCTGCAAGTAATGCCAGCTGTATCTGCTGCTCCTCTGGGTGCTCACAAGTGTGTACTCCCATATCTGACTTGGATTATTTTGTTGATCAGTCTAATCCAGATTGGCATGTGAAGTGATATACATTTAGCCCTCTGGGCTAGGGAACATCCCTTTGCCTGCAGATAGACAGTGGTTTGTTAACACCTGGAATCTGGCTCCATGGGGGGTCACTTTAAGGCAGAGAGAGGGGAGCAGTGACACAGCAGAGGGGAGAGTGTGATACCAGGTCACCGGCTTTTGGAAGAACTGTTATCAGGGCCGAGCACTGGTTATGAAGTGCTTCAAAATAAAATGCCAGGCTGAAATGTCATGCTTTCTCCAAGCCTTTTCTGACTGAATCAACTATTCACATGTTTTTCGTATGTATTTTCACGGGTTTGGATCTAATTTCAGGCTGTAAATGAAGCGAGCAGATTTTCCTTAGTGCACAGTTGCCAATAGCTCCTGTGCTTTGTGGGGGTGGCAAAAGATAAATTGGTGCTGAGACCATACAAGTGGCTGGGTTGCGAACTTTCACAGGCAATGCTTTATTTACCACTTGCTCATTTTTCTTCATGCAAATAGCAACTCGTTGGTTAACATCTTTCTCCGCACTGCAGTAAGAAGATTTCAGCAGCCCGAGGGGCACAGTCACAGACATACCTCCTCTGGCCAAGGGGTGGCCCACCTGCACTGGCTGTTTAACGCTCCTGTCCCCGCTGGCTCTTGGTACAGATTTGTCTGTTGTCCACTGGGGCTCTGATTATTACTTTCTGCAGCCCTACGCAGGCTGCTGTGGTGTGTGTTGAACAACAGCCATTTTGTGTTCAAATTGTAGTTGCATTCATGGTACTAATCCAAATATATCTACTATGCAAAGCTGCTTAGCTGCTCCTGGATTGCTTTTCCTTTTAATATGCATTTAGTTTTTGAACAGAAGGTAATTCTTCTGTTTCAAAGGGCTTGTGGGGAAAAACAAAAAAGAAATTACTAAATTTCATTAGGGTGTTCCTTAAAGGTGTCATCTTCTCTGACTCGTGAAAGAAAAGGACCTTTCAAAGGAAAATGGAAATGCTTATATGCCTAACTAATTAAACAGTTTGCTGCATTACAGTGGCACTTCTATTCCATTACTGCAATGAAGACATGGCTGTAGTGGGACTGTTTACATTTAAATTTAAAGTATGAAATTGAATCTTTTCTTCAATACGAGGCCTTATTGAATATGGAGATGCAGTAAGTATTATGCCCTTACACTTCAGTGAAGGATAATATACAGGGAATGGGTTTGGTTGGCAGTTTTTGGTTGCTGAAATCATCTGAAGGATGGACTCATTTATTGTTCAAGTGTATCCTGTTGATGATAGGATAAACAGCACACTAATGAAATGAATTGGCAATGTAGAACTAGAAGCCAGTCAGAACACAGAAATTATATGAAGGGAGCAACCTCCACAGGAGAGAAATTAAACTTGGGGAAATCTTTTGCATATCTAAGTGAAATAATCTGAAATGCACTAACTCAAAATATGTTTGGTTTAATAGTTTTAAATATGTGTAATTGCTGACAGCAAATTAGATATGAAGTGGCAAGTTACATGGGGCAAAGCTGTCATTTCCGTTTCAGACAGTATATGCAAAAGCATTTTAGAGACAGTTGTTTATTATGGATTTAGTATGATTACACTTCTGGGTAAAATGTTATGATGGAGATGCTGGAAAATTTAGAGGTAGTTTGTAGCGTAACAGTATTACTATCACTCTATAGGACTGACTCATGAAAAAAGATAAAAAGGATGAAATACAGACCTTAACTGAGTGATGATTAAGAGGGAATTATGTTTGCGTAGGTGAAAAGGCACAAATGTGAGGGGTAGAAAAGAATTAATGAGATGCAGGTAGAAGAATTTGAAGCTAACACAAAACACAGGCTGAATATGGGGAGAAACAGCATAACTCTGAGATGGTTTAGGTTCCTGAATAGTTTGTGACCAACACCTTCTGATTTTTATAGTGAATTTGCTCAAAGCAATAGACGATATGCTCTTCAGTGGGAGATAGGAAGGGATCCCATCAGATTGTCCAGTGTTCTCTCCTATTATCCATCAAGGCTACCAGGAATGCCGCAGCACTTTGCTAAAATTTCTGTCCTTTCTTTAAGAGCCTGCTGGGTGCACTGATGAGGCAAAAGGCAGAAGGGAGTCGCCTGCTGCAGATACCTAATAGCATTAGTGGCAAAACCAATAGAGTTTTAGAAGACTGAGTCCTCACCAAATAGGATCCACTAGACAGTGCATAAAATTGCAATACCCTGTATTTGGGAATAAGGGAATAACCCTTTTATAAGGCTGAATTAATTTTTTTTATCAGTACTCAATGATGTCCAGGGAGGTGAGGTAGGGACGTTCTTCCTGTGCCACAGTCAGGGTGGAGAAATACAACAAATGTCATGGACTAGGAGCTGGTTTCCTGCAGGAAAAAAAAAAAAAAAAAAAAAGGCAGCTAAGATGAAACCTAGAGTATAGTGGCTATTCTTAAATAGTTTGTGAATCATATGAAGCTCATCTCAGTGTTTCCTAGAAAACTAAGATGTCATATCATCTGAAATGCTTCTAAATTATAAGCCTGGCAGTCCAAACAGCAGTCAATGACTGTCAGATAGCATCTGAAAATCGGGAGCAAACAACAATTTGACATGAGATGCTGGTAAGAGACTTGTCTACTTTCAGCAGCATTGGCCCTTGGTCAGTGGAGGTGCTCACCCAGCTTGACATTTTACTTGTTTGTTGCCATTTGATCCTTTTTACTATGCCAGCAAGGTGTTGTTTCTTTTTTCCTGCATTGCCTTGCTTTCTGGATGGCAAAACTTACCACTGCTTTTACAGATGGCAGTTCCCTAGAAATTACTACAACACATGGAGCTACTTCCCCTCCAAAATCTGATGAAGGTCTGGGGTCAGACATCCTCAGCTGTGATTTATTCCAGCTAAAGATCCAGCCATGTGCCTTTCCACGGGGTGATGTGGTAGCAAACCTTAAGGTCTTCTGAACTATGGACCAGTAGGGTATTTGAATAGTGAAGATCTGAAGCAGTGCTATAAAGAGATGTGTGCCACACTTCATTTGGCTGGCAACTTTGCTGATGTACTTCATGTAAAGCAGAGCCCTTGCCTTGTCCTCCTGGTGGCAGTAAAAAATGTTGAATAGCTTGAAATTGAAAATCTTCTTGTGAAAGGAGCAAACACTTTTGAAAATAATATGCATGAACAGCTCAGGACTATGTTTATGGAGATTCTTAGGTTTCTATATGGTGCAAGGGCACAGAGAAATACATTGTCCAGCTAATAAGTATTAAAAAATGAGCAATGGTGGTGTAGAGAGCTATGTTATCTGATGTTCCTCAGTTGAATACTACTTGTCCTCTTCAAACTGCCTTTGTGAACTGTGTAGTTTTAATTGCAACTTGTTAGGAACTCTGGTCCTGAGTCTTGCATCCTGGAGAGAGAGAGAGAGAGAGTCTTTTACAGGCACTCCAACTTAGCTTACTCTTTTTATAATATAAATAAACAGGGCTGAAATGGAGGAGGCAGCACCAGGTGAGCAGGCTTCTGCTTAACCTTGACTTGCAGCTTGTGCACCTGCAAGGCTGGATATTGTCTTATCTGTAGGTAGTGTCCTCAAGGGAAGAACTGATGTGGGTGAATAAATCTCCAGGAATTAATTTCTTTTGGGGATTATTTTTTATAGGGAGATGACCTGGGTGACAACTAGGATTCTAACGGGTAAAAACCCTCAGTGCAGGCTTCTCTAAGACTAGTTGTGCTGGATCCAAAGCTGTGCTCTGGTGGCGAGTTGGGGTAAAATACACCTGAAAATCATCTTTTACCGGCTTCATTACGGAGTTCCTGGCATTTTTGCTTTCCTGGCCGGGGACTAGCCTTCCTCTCAGGCTTGCCAGCCTTGTGAAACCGCGGCCGCTCTGGCTCTGAGCTAGGGGAGTGGGGTGGGTGCGTGGGTTGTTTTTGGCACCGTGACTCGTGGCTGCTGTAGGGAGCTCTGTCCTCACTCGGCCGGCTCGCCGGGCTCCATGGACGCCGCGCAGGGACAGCGCTGCCGCCCGCCATCCCCCGTGGGCAGTGCGGGTCTGGGGCGGGTGGGTTTCCCTCCCGGCAGGTATCCGAGGTGCTGACCCCCGCTACGCCCGGGACTCTCTGAGATGCGGGAGGCGCGGTGCTCGCACTCGATGGCGACACCGGCGGGTCCGCCCCGTCGGGGGCGTCTCCGCGGCGGCGCGGGGCCACCTCCCCCATCCCCGCCCCCTGGCTCCCCAGTCGCGGCTGCGGCTGGACGGGAGAGGAGTGGAGTGTGTCCGCGCTGCCAGCCTGCCCCGTCCCGTCCCGAGCCGACCGGGCAGCGCTCGGGGGCAGCCGCCGCCCCATGCGCTGAGGGGCGGCGGGATGGGGCCGCGGGGCACCGGCGGCCGGGCCGGCCGCACCGGGGCGCCGGCTCCCGGCTGGACGTGCCTGCTGCCGCTGCTGCTGTGCACCGCGCTCCGGAGCCTGCGGGCCAGCCCCGGCAACGAGGGTGAGCGGGGACGGGGCGTCCGGGCAGCGCCCACCCGGGAGGGTGGCTGCCGGGCGGTGTGCGGCTTCGGACTCGGCTGACTCAGTTTTGGGACATTTTGGGGCGGGCGAAGAGGGGCTCTGGCCGCGGGAGGGCAGGTCCCGCGCCGTGGGATGCTGTGGCACCGGCCGATGGGGCTGGGGTGTCCCGGGGAAGGGAGGCGGCAGCGCTGCACGGGGCGCGGGCAGGCTGGCACGGGTGGGTGTGCGCAGGTGCCTTGGCACGGGCGCGTTTGGCAGTGGGGATTTTTTTTTTTTTTGGTGGGGGGAAATGTGTGTGCGGTGTTGCATAGGTGCCTCTGCGCGGGTGGGTTGTCACGGCGGTGTTTGCTCGCGGCTCGTCCCGGGAGAGCCGCACAGGTGCATTGGCGCGGGTGGGTTTGCGGGGCTGGCACGGCAGGGCTGGGTACGGGGGAGTTTGCACGGGGCAGGGCGTCTTGCGGGCGATGGCGGGGCCGGCCGGGAATCGGCGGGGCTGGGGGAGGCTCCTGGTGGGGAGCCCTGCAAGCGCTGGCCGCAGTGCGCTTACTTCGTGGTTTAAAATACACGTATAAAAAGGAGAGGAAGCCGCGGCGGTGGCGGTGTGTAACCCGCAGCGGAGCGCGGCCGCTGGGGACGGATTTTTCTATACCTTTGATCTCCGTGAGGCCAATAGCCAAGAACGCGTCCAGGCTTCTTGTCTAGCGGGGTACTTCTAGTCTTTCAAATCGAACTGGGTTTTTTCTCTATATACGTGGTGTGGGCGCTGCTTAGGGCTTTTTATTATTATTTTCGGATCGCAGGCAGGCTGTAATGTGAAAGCAATGGGTGGAGAAGTTCAGTATCTGCAGGGGATGCCGGTGGCTCGAAGCAGGCTGGCATCGTGGTGCACCGTAATTATTTGTGAAACTCCTTTAGAAGGAGGAGGAGGTATTCAGGGGTTGGTGAAGGAAAACCGTACCAGAATTTCAAAGATGTGGCCTGAGGTAACCAGCTAGCTATAATTTATTTTCGAGAGCAAGAATAATGTGAATTGCAGTTTCCTTAAATAAAAAAAAAAATAAAAAAAAAAAAAAAGTGCACAGGAAGGGGAAAATGCTGTTCCTCTGTGTACCAAGATATCAAATGTTTGGAAAGTGCATTGGTTTGGGAGATGGTGGAAATGGCTTTGCCTTGGTTAGATAACAATGGGCCCAATCCTTCTGCCCCCACACGATTTCAGATGACTTCACCCATGGGAGAAGTGCTGGTGAGATGATGTGGCTGATTCCGAAGGGCTTTCCCTGTTACTCACCTTCCTTTTAGGAAGCATGCTGTCCTGTATGCTCCAGTCTGCCCTGATACCGTGCAGAGAGACCAACAGATGCTCTGAGCCCCGACTCAATCATCCTTGCCAGTTCTTGGAAAATCTGGATATTACTGACTGAGTCAACGGGACCATTTGCCGAGCACATAGGTGTCTCTGTGTGAATAGGCAGCTGCAGAATAGGACTTTTACATGATAGAAAACTACTGGAAAGGATTAATGAAGCCACCTAGCAAATGGTTTTAGTGGCATCTTTACAGGGATGTTTCAGGGAAATGTTACAGTAATAATGAGCAGCGTGAGAGCTTGCTTCATGGTGTCTCTGCTGCTACTTTTCTGACTGCTGCTCTCTGATTTCTGTTTCTTCAATAAATGCAAAGCTATAAGGCTGCTGGTAGGAGGGGTCTGACTGTGGACCTGAACTTATACAATAACTGCTGTCCTTTGCTGCTAGGAAAATTTATTTGTAAACAGGCATTATTTGACAAGTGCTTCTCACAGCATGTCTCCTTTGCCAATTGCTACAGAACAGCTCCGCGACTGGGAACGGCTCAGCCTGCAGTACGTGGAGCCCAGTGCATGAGAAACCTCGCACACTGCTGTCCACCTGCCTAGCAGCGTGCCGCTGACACTTGTCACCGGTTCGCGTCTGAGAGGTTCAGTTTGGCTGCTTCTGGGCTCTGATGAGGTTCTCCCCTGGGGTTAGTTGTTCAGCTGGTTAGGAACTTTACTTTTGCTCGGATGGAGGTAGCCATCTTAGAACGGTGAATAATATTTTCAAAAGTTGGTGGTATTGCACTTTCTGTTTGTTTGTTGGGGTTTTTTTGTTATCATTTGTTCTACTCACTGTGGTTAAACAACTAGCCAATACCCTGTGCTGTGTAGGTATGTAACCTGTGTGTAGTTGCATAAAGGATGACAAATTCTCAGAATTAATTTTTTCTGTAACCATGAATCACATTTTTTGTTTGTCTAAATCTAATCCACAGTGACTTCATGGGATAAGATACATGCAGTTAACAATTCACAGTATGTGATGTTCTGTTTTACCCTCTAATGGAGGAACTCTTAGGGGAAAATGCTTTAAAAATCTAGGTTAAGATTTAAGGGGGGGCAAGGGAAGAAGCAAATTCAGTGTTTTAGTTCCTTAGCATGGAAATAGCTTTTTGCAAGGGCCGCTGAGTTTCAGGAGCTCCTGCTATTTTTATGGAGAAGTATTGAGGGCCCAGCCTGTATCACAAACCTGGTCACCTTCATAAATATTTTCAATAATGCATTGAAGGATATACATAGGGAAAACTGAATGAATTTTTTCTCCAGATTTTTCTGTAATAGCTACATAAACCAGATTTTATTTTAATCACCTTTCCTCAGTTAATATGTTAAAAGAAAAACATTTAGTGAAAGATGAAGGCTCAGTGCTATTTCATGCATTTCCAAGTGTTATTTAGCTGTTATTTTTAACTCTTTAGCAGAGTCATTGATTAGAAGCAGATATTTCGTGTTTTATTTTGACTACTATTACAATTTCAGAAATTCAACAGAAAGAAAATATTCCAAAGAGTACACTGAAAGTATAGCACAGTTTTGTGAAGTTCTGGTATTCCACAAGTGCATTATTATTTTAAAATGCATTCCCTATGATAATAAGGTGTGAGAGGCAGCCCTGCAATATGCAACTGGGCTTCCTGCACTGCCTTTAGTTTAAAAATGCATGTGTTTTAAATCTTTCTGTTGTAAGTACTAGGGTTTGGGAAGTGGCTTATGTAAATTATTTATGTGAAACACAATGAATGAAGGATTTGTTTAAAGACTCCCCCTGCACCCTAAACCATATGATTTCTTACACATCGCCTATGGATTTGGAGTGGCTTGCAGATTGTGTTTGGTTGTCACTCAGATGACCTTAAAAAGTGTCATGTGGGCAAATTATTAAAATAATGGAGTACGTTATATCTGATTGCTTGTAACAAAATAACTCCAAAACATATTTGCATAATTGTAATTAAATACAAAGTATATTTCATTTTAGGGCTTTTCAGCAGAAGTGCTGATGAGGCAGTGCTTAATAATGAAGTGTACTGTTAAGCAAATCAAAAGAAATGCCTTGTTAAAGAATGACATTGACTTACTTAGACAAAGGTGAGAAACACAAAATGGGTCTTAGTAATGTGTTGTATTAAGACTAAAGGGATGTTCTTTTTGTTACGAACTCCTGCATTTGGTCCTTTCTCTCTTAATTCATCCAGGGCTTTTTGAAGCTCGCTTTATCTCAGTGTATCATTTTTCATTTGAATGAATGAATAAATTAGTACAATTAAAGGGGTGGGTCTGGTGCTGGCAAAAATAAAGGAAGATTGTAATTTGCAAATTACTCCTGCCAGAGCTTGAAATGAGCCTACCTGTTTTCGGTGTGTTGACTTGTGTGTGTGTGTTGTTTTGTAGTGGCATATAATTTCTGTGTCATGGCACACTGGATAAATGCGTTATTTAGGTATAACATCACAATGTTTATCTTTAATCAGTGAATGAAGTCTTTTTCAGGAAGTTTTTTTTTTGTGTAGTAGAAGCAGGTGTGAAAATAGTCTTAATTTTCATATCAACGTATTTCAATTAGTCTAATGCTTTGGGTAAAAATACACATGATCAGAGCATTCTGCTTATTTGGTTGCTCTTAGTAGCTTGGCTTAATGTGTCATGCATTCACATAGCTAGTGTATTCTGCGTAATTCTGTAGGTATTAAGTGCTGCTAGCATGCCTATACCTTGTGTATGCAGAATAGGTAAGTCTGGACACATATTCATGTGCTCACAGTTCTTTAAGGAGGCTATAAGGAGTTATCAGTTCTTTATTTGGTGTGTTGGAATAGTTCCCTGTGTGCTTTCCTTGACAGCAGAGCATGGCCTCAGTGCCATGTGTTTATTTTACTCACTGGAGTAATCCCATTAACTTTAAAATTTACTGCAGTGGAATTACTGGTATGAGGAAGGACAGCTCATGTCTAATGGTCTTTTTGGGATCTGTCTGGTGTGTGATGTATGGCTTTTCAAGAGGTTTAGAATGACTCAATCATGGCTTTAAAATGGAACTGCTATCCTTTTGACAGTAAAACAACATTTGAAACTCAGCACTTTTAAGTCTATGACTAAAAGCATTGCCGCCTAATGACACGTGTTTAAAACAAGGGAAATAAACAATAGCAAAGATTGACTCCAAGATAGTGCCTATTCCCTTTTAAAGCTTATCTTAAAATTTGTGATAAATACGAGAAAACAGGCAAAATGTCTTAAACAGTAACCGACTGCCTGCTTATAATATGGCAAATGTTGACACTGTAATTTGATACATAAAGCAGCTATTTGCACATCAATATACAGATGAGTAAACTGACAGGTACCATGGGAGGAAGGGAAGAATTAGTAGGTTTGTGTGACAGTTTCTTCCCTCTCCACTGTTAACTCTCCCACCATTACCTCACTTTGTCTGCTGTTCTCTCTCTGTTAAATAAGAAAACAGAATCTTGCCCACAAAGAAGCATTTATTCTTTGCATTAAAAAATACATAGTGTTTTGCAGCAGGCTTACAGGGGTAGGACGGGGGGGCATCATGGTGAGAGTAGGATTTCATGAAATCTAGCAGAAATTGCAAAGATGGGACAGTTTATTATGTGGTGCCT